TCGTAAAATATTTGCACTTAAGACAACATATATCTCATATCGTAAAATATTATAACTTTACATGGCATGCATTTGCATGTTGTGAAAACTTTTATTAAAAAAAATTTCAAATCCGATTATTATTATTTTTTGATTTAAAAAAGCTAACAATTTCCAACCAAGCTTCTCACCTTAAATTTTCCTAATCGAGGACAACGTAAAAAATAATTTGTACATTATTTTATAATTTATAAAAAGTTAGTGTCTTCTTTGCACTAACTTTTAAGGAGTAATTGCACCCAATGTGATTTTGTGAAAACAATTACATATTCATGAAAAAATTTATAATTTTAATGATTAATATTTACATTGTTTCTCACTAAATTATAATTATTTTTCTTTTTAAATTACCTTGATTTGATATTTTCCCTTCTTTTAATAATTTATTTATTTTTTACTTTTTAGACGTGCCTAATTTGAATACAACTAAAAAGTAAAATATTTTTTTTTAGAAAATATAATAAAATATAATATATATGAAATGTATTAAATTTTATAATTTTTTTAGAAAATTAAAAAATATTTTTCCTCTAAATATAAGTAAATTATTTGAATTTAAAAAGTTAAAAAAAATTATTTAAAATATTTAAAAACTTACAGTAACTAAAACCAAAAAAACTCAAAAACATTATTTTAGGCCCAGTTCACCACTTCCAGACTCCCTCTCATTCTATCTATAAATGTTTTTGCCCCAAACCCTCTCTCTCTCTGCGTGTGAGCTCTCGAGCTCTCTTCGTTCTAGTCTGTTTGAGGTATGTTCTTCGAGCGTTGCATTGATCGATCGCATGACTTCGCATGGCCTCACAATGTATGTCATTCACTTTCTCTTTCAATCGATCAATTTTTCTCTCTATCTCTCGATCATTTTTTCCTAAAAGCTTCGAATCCATCATTTTATTTGAAGTTATGGTTTGGTGAGAGCCATGGAAATGTAGACTACGAAGCCAAATGCATTCTCAATCAATTGATCTCAAACCCTAACTGATATGATCTCTACACGCTCCTCTGTATCGAACGATTCGACCTCTCTGCAATCTCCTCTCTGATCACGAACCTGAACAAGTTGAAGCAATTCATCGATGATTGCAAGTCCAATCCCTTAATCCTCTCTGATCCTTCTCTCTCCTTCTTCCAAGACTACCTTAAAAGGTATGATATAATTCATTTTTATATATTTATATACTTTCTTGTTGAATTTTCTTTTCTTACGTATTTTTATATGATTTTTTGGTGGTTTAGTGGAGGGAATTGATTTTGAATGTTAATGTATTATATATTATTAGCTGTTAGTGTTATTAGCTGTAAAGTGTCCAAGCTGTAATCATGGTGTCTTTGCTTTCGGTTGCTTTTGGGTGCATTGTTTGTAAACTTCTCCTTTATAAGGAGGCCTTGAACCATTGTACAAAACACAACATTCAATATCAATCATAATACATACAATTTGTTCTCTCTCTATCAATTTATCTTACATGGTATCAGAGCAAGGTTAACAACCTAGTCATTCTGCTTCACCGGCGGGGGGGGGGGCTCTCTCTCGGCAACTCTCTTTTCTGGGGCTCAAAGCTGCACTATATCTCTCTCTTTCAGTTTCCAGATGAACTGCCATCCAAGCTAAAGCATGATGAGCGTGGTCTGTTATCAATAGCAGCAGCAGCACCTTCACGAAGCTCTCTCTCGGGGGAGCATGAAGACACAGAGCATCTGAGCTGAAAACAAAAACAACACACAGATACACGCATGCACAAACTCTCTCTCTCTCTCGCTGGTTTTATGGTAATGATCAACACACAAGCTCCCTCTCTCTTGCTGGTTTTATGCTGGTTTTATGTTCAGCAAACTCAACCACCTGCACCGCCATAACAACCATCCATTGACACACACACCGAAGAAGAAGAGAGCAGTTTGTGCTGACACTGGGGCAAAACCCAGCTTGTTTTTTCTCCAACAAAGCTCCGCCACTGTACCGCTGCTTGCTCACAGCCCGTGGCCTCCAGGCGCCGTCGTTGGAGGTCAATCTCCGGCCACACCTCCTATGGTGTCCGCTCTGCCGGTTTCAGTCTCACTCCCCTCCAGCCATGGGAGGCCTGATCAAACCATGCATTCATCAACTCTCTCTCGGTCACCATGCATGACCACAGAGCAACACACAACTCTCCATCTCTCTTCTCGACATGACTTTTGGTACACGGGTTCTCTCTCTCTCTCTCTCTTCGAGGCCATGGAGTCATGAAGGGTGATGCTGGTTCGGTCTCACTGACTCGACTATCACACACACACACACACTGCCACCTCACTCTCTCTCTCTCGGGTTAGGGAGGGAGAGGGCCATACACACACCCATTTTAAGAGACACCCATACACAACACACCACTGACTCATTATTATGCTTCCCACTCTCCCCAACTTTCTTTATTTTATTTATATATATATATATATCTTTTTATTATACTATATTACTCAAACTCTCCACTTTCACACCACGCCGTCTGATCCCACTATCCCTTTTATTTATTTTATTTTATCTTCCTTCTTTCATACAAAAAAAAAAAAAAAAAAAAACAAATTTTCCCCTGCTAAAAAAGGGAAAAAAAAAAAAACCCTATACAAAATACACATTCAGAAATGATGCGTTAAATTGTTATATTTAACAACATTTTTAAAATTATGAAAATAATGGTGGTGTTTTGATTAGAAAGAAGGGGACACAAGAAGTCATAATTCTATACAAATTATTCGTAAAATAATCATGCCAATAATTTGTGAGAGAGGGAGGGAGGGCTAGTTGTTGTGAAAGTAGTTAATATCATGGGTGAGCATATGTCATGCATTTTAGCCATTAAAAAGCTTGGTATTAATGTAAGCTTGGTTAGAGATCTTTAAAGAAAAAAAAAAAAGAAAAAGAAAAAGGGCTAAATGGTTTGCACGTCACAAGTAGTGGCCTCCCACACAGAATAATGTTTCGTTCTGCTCTCCTTTCTCCATCCCTTTGTTTCAACCTCAAATAGGTTTCTATCTTCCCACCTATTTGAGTTTGAGGGGGGGTTATACATATATCATGGTGAGCATGGTTACACACCATGCGAACCACTCAAGCTGGTGAGCATGGTTATACACCATGGGAACCACTCAAGCCACCTCATGGCGCACTTCCTAAGTCGCCCCCTTGGTGCACCACCAACGTTTCTACACGGTCTGATACGACCACACAGTGTCTTCTACAATGGTCCGACATGACCCCATAAACTGTCCCGACATTGATTCCGGTCAGCTTCTACAACGGTCCGGCATGACCCCGTAAATTGTCCCGACATTGATTCCGGTCAACTTCTACAACGGTCCGGCATGACCCCATAAACTGTCCCGACTTTGATTCCGATTAGCTTCTACATCGGTCCGGCATGACCTCGTAAACTGTCCAGACCTTATCTGCTACAACGGTCCGACACAACCATACCGTGTCTTCAACAACGATCTGACACGACCATACCGTGTCTCCTATCCTATTTTATTTTATTTGTCAGTTTATTTTCACGTTTTGTTACTTTCTTCAAACTCAAGTTGGTTAGTTCCTATCCTCCTTGAGTTTGAGGGGGGCTGTTAATGTATTATATATTATTAGCTGTTAGTGTTATTAGCTGTAAAGTGTCCAAGCTGTAATCATGGTGTCTTTGCTTTCGGTTGCTTTTGGGTGCATTGTTTGTAAACTTCTCCTTTATAAGGAGGCCCTGAACCATTGTACAAAACACAACATTCAATATCAATCATAATACATACAATTTGTTCTCTCTCTATCAATTTATCTTACATTGAAAATGGCCAGCAGCGAAGTCTGGTGTTTTTAAGTCATCAGTGTAGTCTTATACAGATGTATAATCTGTTTTCATGTACCTTAGCATGTCAATGGGCTTGTGCATGCCTTGTTAATCAAGGCTTCAATTTTTGGTTTCTTTCTTTCTTACTCTGTTTTGGAATTTTAAGGTGGTTTTTTTAATTTTGATATGGAGTTGTTGGATTTGGTATCAAATTTGCAAGAATGTTGGAAATCCTGATTTGGATTTGGATACGAGTTAGTTTTATGATATGAGCTCTCTTTCTATGTGTGTGTGTCTCTCTCTGTGCATGTGAACAATTTGAGTTTAAAACCATTTGATGTGTTGAGGTTATTATGATTATCCGACTTACAGTGCAAAATGCAATTTATGTTCTTGCATTTCCATAGTAGGCAATTCAAGTGAAATAAGTACCTACCTTGCGTAAAAATCTATATATTCCACTCCAACAGTTAAGTTGACCTTGGCATGGTGCATATATATGGTAAGGAAGATTTAAAATTTGTTCATCTTTAAAATTAAATATAATAAAATTATGAAATTATGATTATTGAATTAATTTAATTTTTTAATAAATAATCCATACATAATTACTTGTATAAGATTCAAAGTAGTGCTTGTGATAAGCTGATGTGTTGCAGCAGTTTTTTAGTCTACACACTTTTGCCGCACAAAGCATGTTGATAGAGTATGAACATGGTATAAAATAACAATTTTTCTAATGTGTCTGTAAATATATTCATACTTTGTGATATATCCATCAATATTGTCATATTCTCAAGGTCATTATATATAGTTTTATTAATGTTTTATAAATTGTGATAAGGATTTTTTGGTTGTCTTTTTGTTTTCGATTTTTTTTCCTCACAAGGAAAGAGTACATAGGTACACAAACATGTAAAAAGGGAAAATAATTTGTCAACAGAAAATTTATACAAAATACACATTTAGAAATGATGGGTTAAATTGTTAATAACATTTTTAAAATTATGAAAATAATGGTGGTGTTTTGCTTAGAAAGAATGGGACACAAGAAGTCATAATTCTATACAAATTATTCACAAAATAATCATGCCAATAATTTGTGAGAGAGGGAGGGAGGGCTAGTTGTTGTGAAAGTAGTTAATATCATGGGTGAGCATATGTCATGCATTTTGGCCATTAAAAAGCTTGGTATTAATGTAAGCTTGGTTAGAGATCTTTAAAAAAGAAAAAAAAAAAAGAAAAAGAAAAAGGGCTAAATGGTTTGCACGTCACAAGTAGTGGCCTCCCACACAGAATAATGTTTGTTTTTAAGGGTCCTTGCGGTTGTAGGTAGGATGATACTTAAGATTTATCTTTTTAAATAAAGCAGCTACTATGAAAATAATATATCAAAATTGAGGATCAAGGTAAGTTGTAGTTTCCTAATTAGTTAGTTGAGCTACCTAAGCAATGCAGCTATCCTCCAAGGAGCCTACTTCTTTACCTTTCGATTTCCCAAATGACCCTCTAGATGTTGTCATTTGTGGTAGATTATACTCCAATGGGTGTGAATGATCTAAACATCACTTCGGATAAAGTTATGCCAATGAACCTTATGTAGTAATGCCATTTTATTCAGAGATTCTCACCCATTTAGGTTCACCAAGTAAGTTCAAACTAAATCTGGCCAGCCTCATCAAATTGTTTTTGGGTAGCTTTTGCTACTATATAAAATTAATTATCACAGTTTCATGTGGTTACCACCCAATTTTGGGCAGCTTTTGTCAATTTTGAATTTGTCACAGTGATGGGTTGTTTCTTTGGCTGCTTCCGAATCAGAGACGATCATCGCCACCCCCAGACTCATCTTGCCTCAGAACCACCCTTCGAAGCTCAGAGTACTCCTCTGTGTGTGTGTGTGTGTGTGCGCGCGCGCATGTGTGTTAAATTCTCCATTTTCTTGTTTTGAATTGTGAGTTTTGTTGTTCGTTTTTCTGTTTCTAAACCAGGAACCTGTTGTATCTCAGAATCCTCCGTCTTCTCTACTACTTGCTGATGGTAATTCGTTTTTATTGTATGTTGATTCAATGTATCTAATTCGATTCTCTTAGATCTTGTTTCATTCCAAAGAATTGTAGTATATATTGAGTTTTTTCAGCTTTAAATAGATAATTTCGCCATTTGGGGAGAAGTTTTTGATTTTTATGTGTTTATATGTTATATTATATGTATACGAAATAGTCATTTATTTCTTGAATTCTAACTAGCATTTATTTTTATTTTAATTTTGTTTATTGTTAAATTGAAGATAAAGATGGATTCCCATGTAAAGATGAGGAAAATCCTGCCTTGAAGACTCCAGAGCATGGCAACAACAATGGGGAGCTCAAGGATGAGGTGTGTGTTGTTATCTGCTATCAGTTTTCTTTAAAGTAGTTTGAGGAGGTATGATCGGGTAACTAGGGGACACATCTATTCTATATTAAAAGAAAACTTTTGTCATGCCTTTTTGATTTTCCAAAAATACCGCAGAAATTGTTAACTACAAATTCCATATCAAATTACTGCTCTAAACCGTTTTCGAATTCAGCCCATTTTCATCATCATTTATTAAACTAGCCAAACCACCAAAAACATCAAAAAATTAGACCTACACTTGCAAATGTTGTGTTTGCACCAACCGGCCATATCCATGCCTCTGTTCACAGGCTCTTGGTATGCTATTACTTGTTGGGTTTTAGCTCACCCTATTCCTCATATATGTATATAGGTGATGAGGTTTGAACAGTGGGCTTGTGTATACATATTGTGTGAATACTAGTGCCTGCTCTTAGACTTGGCTTGGAACTTATTGTTTTGTTTTGTTTTGGAGCATTGTATATATTGAGACATGTAGTCTCTTTTGATTTGTACTTCTTAATTTATAGATGTTATCACTTGATAGATTGTGAAGTGCCGAGGGAATCCTTCACCTTAGAGGCAAAGGTAGGTAAAGTGTCAGGATGACAGTTGTTACAGCAATGAGCATGCTCTACTCTGACAGAATCAAATCTATCCATCAATTTTTATCCATTTAATTTTAAAACTAGTAGTTACTATGTGGGACTGGTTTTGATTTGAAATATCTTGTAATCGTATGACCTTTTATTTAAAAAAGGATAGTACTCAATGTCCAAGGCTCTCGCTTACAGTAGGGTTTGGGAGAGGTAGTAATAATAGGCATCCTTTCTGCCACCTTTTTGTAAAGAGACACAAACCTTTGCGACAACGCTGGGAACCAATAGCATTTGTCATCACTCTTGGGCATGATTATCACTCTTGGACATGACCTAAAAATCTTCTTTTTATTTTTTCATCCTTAGTATATACCAATTGATGATTATTTGTTTTGCTTGTTCTCTCTCTCTCTCTCTCTCTCCACATATATATATATATTGTTTATAAATTTGGAGAATACTAGACTCTCTTGAAATTTATAAATTTGGAGAATACTAGGCTCTCTTGGAATGTGTGATTGCATCTGTTGTTGCTGTTGCTGCTGCAACATCTGCTCTTCAAATCCCTACAATTGGTATTGGGACAGGGCGTTTCTGGTTCTCCCTCTGACATCCAGGTATATCTCTCTTTTGCTCTCCTTTGTTGTTCTCTCCTCATTTTCTGGGAGGATGCTTGTAGTTTCTTTTGTTTTTTTTTTCTTCTCTTTCCCATAAGAAAATTGTATTTTATTTATTTATTTATTTAACTTTATTGTTAAAGGCTGAATCTTAGTGGAAGATCAAGAAATGTTATGTAGGGTTGTTTCTCATGGTTGTTAGTTGAGATAGATATGCTTCAGTCTCCACCAAAAAGTGAAAGGGAGTGGGGTTTTGTCTGTGGGAGAAGGAAGCTATATCAGGCTAAGGCCAGAAGAGCATGGGGGTTGATATCCGCATGTGATTGTGTGCTATGTGGTTGTAGAAAAGGAGCTTTTGGTGGTACATTTCTTGTTGGAGATGTCTGATTCTTACTATTAGGGAAAAACCTTGGGGCTATTTTTTTTATTTTATATTTTTGAGTGCGAGGGGTGCCTAAGGAAGAGTTTGTTGACAGACCTAGAATTGAATCAAGGTTGGTCATCAATTTTGAGTATGAACTAAAAAAAAAAAAGAAGAATTTTAATCTGAACTGAACCAAATTGAACTAAGCTTTTGGTTGTCTATCTTATAATGAATATTTTAGAAATACTCATTTGCACGAAGCCACCAACTAGTGCAAATTTGGTCTGTTAAATGGTTATTGCTATGCCAAAATCAAGACTTAGCTCAAAAGATCTCGAGTTATACTAGTGATGCTTGGTAGGTGGCTCAGTGGAGTAGTCCCTAGAACTTTCATAAAGAGCAACACAGATATTTCTTTATACTTACATGAAAGAAGTTCAAAATTTTAGCCAATGAATTCAACACCCTTCATTCAAAGTAGTCTATAGAATTAATACAGAAGTTGTTGACAAGCTTTCATACAGTTTTCTCTTTTTGGATGTGTCTGGACACACACATGACAAAGTATTTAGAATTATTATTTTATGCTCTGACCAAATAGTTTCATCTTGCCCCATTTTAACATCCTGTTGCAGACATATGTACACACGTGTTTATTCATGTGTACATTAATAAATTTCCAATTTTTTTTCTGCCATTTTACAGATCCAAAATGAAGGATATTATTTGTAGTTGAGAGCTAAAGATGCTCTGCTAAATGCCTCTTCTTATGGCTGCTAAAAGATTTAGTTCAGGCCCCTCACAGGTGCTTTCTCTTCTTTATCCTGATTAGATCTGCGGGTGCTCTAATGCTTGAAACAGATGCAATTTTGGTGTTTCGTGCTCATTTAGGTATCATAGATTCATAGGTGTAGAGGAATAGGGAAGTGAATGATAGATATATCTATAAGTTTCTGAATAAACTTGTATATTCAACTTGGATGGTAACTGGATTTGAAAAGGATCTTAGGAATAAGGGTCATGCGCATCATATGGGAACCCACTTTGGTTTCTTCCTGGCATAGCTGCCTATGTGCATTTCTCTCATAATGTTTTCTTTTTAGCAGCTTAATTTTATTTTTGATAGGTTGGTAGTGGTGTTTCTAGGTGGAACTGCTTCTTTCTTTCTGTGTGGAGATGAGCTTTTCTTCAGTTATACCTGTTGGTCACAATGATGGAGGCTTGCTTGCCTTAAAAGCTGCACAGAGCTCATGCTTCACCAAATTCTGTCAATGTGAGTACTACCTACTTATACTAATGTGAACCCAGCTCAATATTCAACAAGAACCATCTAGAATTAATTCCTACAGAAGAGAAGGGTACAATGAGACCGAGACAGTGCAACTTCTGAGCCAAACCCACATTCAATCTCCGAGTTCACTAAGACCCGGGCAATTCGTCAATGAGAGTGAAAACTCAATGCTTCACATGTTTTCACCCTCATCAAACTATCAAGTCTGAATTGAAACCCATTTCATGAGTTGGGTATAACTGGGTTAATTAATTAGACCGGCTAATAAATTGTTTTAATCGTGTGGTTGTAGGTTCAGTATCTTAGCAGCAGCAGCAGCAGCAATGGAGGTCAAATTGGAGCCACCACCGAAGGCAATCACCTCTCCCTGTCAATGAGCAACAATCAGCAAAGGCCGTTCATCAATCCTCCGCAACTGTTTGCAACTGCTGCAGCATCATCAGGATTCCCACAGTAGATAATTACCCGACCCCAAAATTGGCTACACCAGAAAAATTGATTTTACTCTCTGATGAGACCCTCTTGACCCAACTTTTTGTTTTTTGTTTTGTAAATCTTTATGTAACAAGGCCTTTGGAGTTTGTAAGCATGTAAAGATTAATGCTTTGAGCTTATATTTCTTCATTTGTGTGTTTCTAAAACCGTACATATGCATTATTATTTAGGCTGCCTTCTTATTTATTATTACATCAATAGGTCCTTGTTCATATTAAATTTAAAATTTAAGAAAATTAAAAAAAGGGGATATCACGGCGTTTCTGAAAACGCCACCTAAAACTCTAAAAGCTAACAGCAAGTTTTTTAAAAAGATATGGCGGCGTTTTGAAAACGTCGTTAAAATGATAGTGACGTCATAGTACCTTTGGTGGGATATTTGGCGGCGTTTTTAAAAACGCCGCCTATAGTCATACAACGACGTTTTTTAAACGTCATAAAGCTATAGCGACGGCCGCAGCATCGGCGCTTGACATTAAACGTCACAAAAAGAATTAACGACGTTTGTTGTACCTATAGCGGCGTTTTGTAAACGCCGCTAAAATCAGATTTTCCAGCAGTGCTTGCATTGCTTTCTTAAAATACCTATTTACATTACACAAGATTTTGTTTCATTTCCTTGGTTGTTCATTAGTGAAATAGATAAGAAAATAATGACATCAATATTTTTATACTAAAATAACTATTTTAATTAGGGCAACTATTTAATCAAAAGTAATTATACATATGGGGCAACCCATTTAATTATTTTTTAATAGAAATAGGGCAAAAGTTATATCTGATATTGACAAGTATACGCCTTGACTTCTATTAATTTTTAATTTTTTCGCAAAATTATATTCATCAAATATTGATAGTTATTTAATTTTATTACATCTATCAATAAGTTTGAATTGATTAAAGTGACAATTGATATCTTGTTAATATGAATTTTTATAAGGATAAAATGCTCAACAATTCTTATCCATTAAATAGTTTGAATCATTAAGATGGACTCAAGCCCACCACATACAACAATATTTTTAATTTCATTGTGGACGAGACCAAGCCTCTCTCAAATTTTAACAATAGTATAATTAAGTAGTAACAAAAATAATTTTTTTACATTATATTTGATTAATAAATTTAGATAAAAATTTTAAAAATAACAAAAAAAAATAAACTTATGTTTTATTTGCATTATTCTCACATTTTTTTTAATTCACAATCTTTAAAAAAAAAAAGAAAATTCATGAATTCTTTGAAAAAGACAATTTTGTTCTTCTGAAATAAAAAATTGAAAATGGGGTAGAGTTGAGCTACAACCGTTTCTGTCGTGGCACTCAGAGCACTTTGGGCTCTTTTTTGATTGTTTAGATTGGATATAAAAGTTTGAGGATGATATGTAATAGTTAATGACAAAAATGAAATATAATATATTATAACATATGAGATTAATTATATATATTGTGGGGTTATTTATGTTATGTTTGGTTAAGATATGATATAAAATGAGAGTAATTATTTTTGACATTTAGATAAAATATTTCTTATATTCGACGGTGGAGGACATACAATACTTTGGAGATTGGCATTGCATATCTCCTTTTGTATTATATACCATTTAGACTCCTTATATCTAAAATAACCAAATACAAAATATAAAAAAATAAGAAAATATATAAGACTAACCCATATTATGGGGTGTTTTGGGAATATGGTTAAAAGTTATTTTTTGATTTTTTTTAGCTTTTTTATGAGTAAGGAAAGTGGGTTAAAAGCTGAAAAGTAGCTTTTAATCTACTTTCGAAAATAGCCCTATATCTGAGTTCATTCTAATATCTGTTCCATATATACGATAAACAAATCCGGCGTTAGCATACTCTATTTATGAAGGGGTTGTTTGGGATATCCTAAATAAGTACACTTTTTAAATTTTTATACTAAAAAGTTGAGGAAAAAAAGATGGCTGTTTGGGATAACTTTTTAAATTTTTATGAAAAAATGTGTATTAAAAAATTGTATAAATTAATGTATAGCAGAAACTTTTTGGCGAGTAGGTAGTACGGTGGTAGCATTGTGCAGAGTAGTGTATAGGAGATGCTTGCCACCTTTTCGGGCTTTAAATTGGACGGTGTTGTTCTGCCCGTGGGACCCACCATGGGTCCTGTTTTGCTAATCGGAACCGTTCAATATGTAGAACTCGTCGAGTACTATATACTGATAAAAAATCACATTGATCGGATATCGATAACTATCTAATCGGATTAGTTTTTTGTCAACCGTTAACTATAACACCATCTATTTTTTTATACAAAACTAATTTGATCATGTAGTTAGTAATATTTGATCAACGTGATTTTTTACAAACATATAATACTCGACGAGTTCTATACATTGAACGGTTCGGATTATCAAAAAGGGATTCGTAATGGGCCCCCACAGGCGGAACATCATCGTCTTGTTTTTGCACCCGGCTGTTCCCTTTGTGCAACCAAAGTCGTCTAAAGTACAACTCACATAAAAAATGAGTTGTACTTTTTTTTTTTGTAAAATTAATTTTTTAATATTTTTTTTAATAAATATTGATAATTTTTTAACTCTTTTAATATTTTTTTAACTTTTTCGAAAGATGCAAAAACCAGTCCTAAATTAATGCATAGGCTTTTTATGGTCAGGGAATGCATAGGCTTTTTTAATTTTTTTTTTTCAAATTAAAAGCAGCCGAGGCGCTCCTGTAATTACTGCCACCCAGGGGGGCATACTCCAAACAAAAAACATGAAACTGTTTGAATACCCTCTTTTTTTTTTGGATAAATTATACTGACATTTCTTGAAATTTATGTTTATTATAGTTTTTTCTCTTATCTTTTGAAAATTACATCTCCCTTCCTGAGTTTAAAGTTTTATTATAGATTTTTCTCAGTAATTTAATTTTTTTTAAATACTAATTTTACCCTCACTGGGTAAATTACGTTGACACCCCTCATATTTTAGAAATTACAATCCACTCTCTAAGGTTTAAAGTAGCATTACCAATTGCCTCGCCAGTTAGTATTAGTTGGAAAAAATATTCATTGAAAAAAAAATTAATTAGAAAAAAAATTATTTGAAAAAAAAATTTAATTGAAAAAAAGTTTAAAAACCAACGTAAACACATTTTTCAAATTTACTTTTTTTTTCTCAAATTTATAAACTAAGATAACCATTTATAAACTAAAAAAATTATCAAATAAGTTTTTATGACATTTTAAAAAAAAATTGTAAATATAAATTGAAAACTGAAAATGAAATAGTTGTCAAACATGTTTCAGGTGGTTAAAATGTCATAAAATTAATAAATAATTAAATAAATTACTAACGTAAGAAATTACTTTTTTTATTTTTATTTTTGGGTAAATTATACTGACATCTCCTGAAGTTTATGTTTATTACAGTTTTTCTTCTTACTTTTTGAAAATTACATCTCCCTTCTTGAGTTTAAAGTTTTATTATAGATTTTTCTCCGTAATTTAATTTTTTTTAAATATCAATTTTGCCCTCATTGGGTAAATTACGTTGACACCTCTCATATTTTAGAAATTACAATCCACTCCCTAAGGTTTAAAGTAGCATTACCAATTGCCTCCCTAGTTAGTATTAGTTGAAAAAAATATTCATTGAAAAAAAATTAATTAGAAAAAAAATTATTTGAAAAAAAAAATTAATTGAAAAAAAGTTTAAAAACCAACATAAACTCATTTTTTAAATTTACTTTATTTTTCTCAAATTTATAAACTAAGATAACCATTTATAAACTAAAAAATTATCAAACAAGTTTTTATGACATTTTAAAAAAAAATTGTAAATATAAATTGAAAACTGAAAATAAAATAGTTATCAAACAGGTTTCAGATGGTTAAAATGTCATTAAATTAATAAATAATTAAATAAGTTACCAACGTAAGAAATTATTTATTAAAAGATTTTTAGACTAGGTATCATTTGACTTTTAGAATTTTTTTAAAAAATTAAAAATTAAAAATTAATTTAGTTAAGAAATAAAAAATAAAAAATAAAAAATAATTATTTATGGATACGGAGCTATGGCTACGCCAGTGTCCGATACGAGTCGGACCACACTGGCTTGGTCGTCCCTGATCGACTCGATGAGGGGATGCACGCTGGTCGGGTCTCGGATTCTGAAGGAGGAACTGAGGCAGAAGATTACGATTCCCCAGTACCTGAGGCTAGCCATGCGCGACGCGATTCAATCCAAGGACGTCGCCGCCGGGGAACCACCACTACGCCTCCCCCGGCGAGGCCGCTCAGGCCCCCGACTTGGCCCTGGTGGTGTTCATCAATTCGCTCAGCGGTGGGCGCCACGGCCCGAAGCGCAAAGCGAGGCTTCAGGAGTTGATGGGCGAAGAACAGGTGCCTTTCTTTCTTTCTTTCTTTCTCTCTCTCTATCGGTACAGTACATAAATATTTATATAATTCCGTGTAATGGAGGCTATATGCAGTGATTCAGTAAATATTATTGAAGTGTAAAGAAATGTATATATGTTTTTTTAATATGCAATTTTGTGTACAGAGATTCAATTTAAATTTTTTTTCCTGCCTATGGAATATTATATGTAGCTGAACATGCATATGTCGAATTTGTATTCTTTTTCTTGCTGCTTTTTTAGCCATGCCGATTGATTGAGTGATATGATTACTAATGTGGAAGTTGAAGATGTAAAATAAAAATGGGTTTGTTTGTGTACTAATGTAGTTGTATTAATTAATTGGGATTAGATCTTTGAAATTACGTAAAAATCCTCATTAGATGTAAGGTGACTTGGTTATTTTTGTAAAATTCAAGGCAAAACAGCCTTTTCCTTTTACCTTCAATCACATAGGATTGGACTAACAATGCCAACTTCTTGTATGAATGATAATTCCACCCTTGGGGGGATTAGTAGTCTCATGGGACTGTTAGTCCCATGCCATATATGTTTAGCCTCCACTGTTTAAGAGGTACCTAGCTGCAAAAGCCTCATTTGTAGTTTGAAATTTAATTTAGGGTAAATTATGCAAACCTTCTTGATAGTTGGTAAAAATACATCTGGCCCCATTGGTATTAGATAATTACATTGTCTTCTCCTATGTTTTACAATTGCATTACATTTACCCCACAATAGTTGGTCTCTCGTTAATAATAGGAGTAATTCTTTTGGTACACCGCAAAA